CTGAGATTATATTAAACATCATCCGATTTTGTTTATAATAAGTTTATGAGCGTATATAACTAGTGGAAATGAGTGACCAATTTAGATTACCTGACGTTTTGGTAGCTTAACATGTTTGATAAGGCAGTATATTGTAAAAGCACTGAGAATAGTTCCCGTGCTACCAATGAATGTCAAAACACTCCCCTGAAATAATCAAAATGTTGTGATTGTGCATCGGCAAATGAGCTTCAAATTCTCAGATTAAAGAGCATGTCTCTACTGCAATGAAGTAAATTGAACTTGTGTAAAAGAGGATTTTCCTCAAACAAAACTCACGTTAACGACTCTGAAAATGCATGTTTCGTTTTTACTCAAACAGGCGCTGTCCTCTACATTATATACCATATTATTTCTGCACTTTTGATTGTAATCTTTCTCTGGGATATCGAATTTACTGAGCTACGAGAATTAAGATGGTTGTTCTGATAAACGTTTTTATGTTACAGCTAGCTTGAGTGGCTCGAACTAGGCGACTTTGCCACAATAAAAATACTAATTAGTTCGAAAAATTTCGATAATTTTTATTTAAGCCGAAATCGAAACAAGCTGAGGTAACAAACGAATGATTAAACTATTCATTTTACGCTCTTTTAAAGGTATTATTGAAGCCGAAAACAAAATTAGATGTCAGAACTCAGAATACAAAGGAATTGCACGATGTAGTGTTATGATTGAAACAAGTTGTTGTTCATAGCGGGAATCGGTGTCGAGGGCGGAAGTCACGAGGACGGAAGTCACGAGGGCGGAGGTCACGAGGGTCGAGGGCGGAGGTCACGTGTCGCCCACGTGTCCTACACCCTCGTGACTTATACCCACCACAACATAGGTATTAGCTATCTAGTTCCTTAAAGAAAGGTACATTGCTGGTGCTCGGTGTACTTCTGATTAAGTTTTAACCGGTGCAGTCATAAACATTAACCAATATATAGACGTTTGTTGATAGCAAACAAATGATTATACTATTTTGTTTACGCTCTTCAGGGGGTTTTATTATTCCAACTGAAAGCAAAATTAGAAGACGTAGTCTGCACTATGTACCTTAATGAGCACTGAGTGACTAGTCGAGTTGTTGTATTACAGCATAGGTATTTAGTTCCTTTTAAAAGAAAGGAATGTGATATCTCAAGATTCAGGCCACGAAAACTATATTTACGGTGTACATTGAGGTGAAACTAGAAGTTTAGTACAATAATATTTTATGGTATCTTCGTCCAGGGGCAGGAATCTCTGTGGAAATGATTGCCCCTTTCTATGAAAGTTCGCGTTGTTTTGACAAATATTAGGCTATAAATAGTTTCGTATGTCATTTAATAAAAATTATTTCACTCAAATTGTATTCAAATTTTTTTAAATGTGGAGTATAGAACTATTAATAAGTTATAAAGTTGGCTAACATGTTATGAAATAAAACTTTAAATCATAATAAGATTTAACCAAACTTTGTATTATTAGTTTATTTAACGGACATTCTAATTTCTAACTAATTATTTCGATCGTTTAAAGAAGTCAATTCCCTCTCACTCTAATTTACCATGTAGTTGGGGATCGTTCACATGATATCACGTAAACCAGCCAAGATGTAAAGGCTAGGGGGTCGAAAAAAAATACTAAAAATGTAGTAACGCACATCACATCAGGAGTGTTATAAAGTTGTTGTACTCTATAAGTGTATATTCACTTACAAGCATAACTGCTTGGCGTGATGAGGTACATCTTTGATTGGTCGAAGGTCTTTTAACAACACAGCATCATCACTTTCATAGTAGTCCCCGGCTTATGACGGGTTCATAGCGGTAAATAAAAGTTGTAATTTATAATACCATTTGTTACGAAATGATATAAAGATGTAGGAACGAATCGTTTCAAAGTGAGACAACTAAATATCTAGCCTAATAAATGTTTCGTGTCAAAGAGCATCGTCAGGAACTAACTTATGTCCTCCTTAATTAATTAATTTTATCACACAAAAAACACAACGATATTAAATAACTGGTGCTGTTAATTATTCATCATTATTTGCCAGTCATAAACATAAACTAATTAAGGCCAGAGGGCGAGGGGGGCCTTAATCTACTCAAATTTGTAGTGTCATAGTTCTGTCTCGGCTATTTCTTGAATCGTCGTTATTGCGGCTCTATTTGAAAATACCAAATTATTGTCAATCATTTTAGGATGGATTACTGTGCTGAATCGTCGAGCTAATGACAGTCTTCTTCCTACTGAAGTTGCTGAAAAAAATAACTTATTAATTTTATGTATATAACTTGTATTGTTTACAGTGGAACAGGAAGTTTTGAAAAATATTTCGGCCAAAAAGTTTCTTCGGCCGTTTTAAGTCAATTTCAGTCGTCTCGGCCCCGGTAGACTTTTTGGGACAAAAAAGTTAGGAATAATTTACTATTACTATAATAATTTACTATTACCGGCTAAGTTCTGTTGAGTACGTTTCAGTCTAGCAAAGTATATGACGGGGTTCCAGATGGTGTTAGTGTACCAAAATGTCAATGTAAATACTTGCGAAACTTCGTAGCTCATTGTTACCTGGCGAGTGGTATAGATTTAGACAATCAGAACATGTAATTGCTTTTGAATACGTTCCTTTATACATGATAGAGGTTTGCACTATCAGCAAAATACATAAGAATGAATTAATTTGTTGTCAAGTTATTGCCTTTTAGATCATTTATAAACCTTGAATGTAACTAGTAACTGATTAGGTATGTGAGTTATCAATCCCGTTACTATTATAGCAGTAGAAATGATAAGTAATTTCTTTGTCTCCAACTTAGCTTTGTTGACGAAGAATAAATGATGTTGTGACCGTCAGATCATACATGATACATACCTTATTGGTTCCATTAGCTAGGGTCACAATGTCGAAAAGCAAGATAGGAATTATAATGCTTAACCATGTCAATGCGACCATAATCTTACAATTTGTCTTTGTAATGAAAGGTTTGTATCTCATAGGAAATACTAGAGCCACAAATTTATCCGCTGTAAGAGGTATCAGTACTGGTATTGCTGACATCCTGAAATAATAATCCTCACTGCGCGGCGGGGCTTTATTACCCTAAAGGTAAGATATTGTGGAATCTAGAAAATTGGTTCTAAAACTAGGCCAAAAGTAATGTACGGATTGGCTAATTTTACTTCCATACCAAAGAGTGCTCCCAAGAATAGTATAGCTAGAGCACCACCAATTCTGTGACTCAGTTCCCGCATCATGCCCCATCAATTTAGGAGAGAGAATGCCAAGTCCCCGGATAGTGCCTAGTAATGCTGTTAAGACATCACTCACTGCCACGTTTAAGATGAACAGATTCTGGGAGATGATTACTGTTATAAGTAGGTGGACTTCCAATAATGCTCACAGTAAAGAATCTGAAGTAGCCGCTAGTTTGGTAGGTGTCAAACTACAGTCCAGGTAGCTCAAGTTGAATTTTTTTAAATATTCTAACTTCTAACTTTTAAGTACAGTACGTAGTATACCATGAAAAGCTAATGAACGATTCAATAAACCAATAATCCCATATTTGGGCCTCTCATGGTAGTTCTTTGCAATATAAATCTTAGGTATATAATATGTTAGGTACTACTGAAAAAACCTTTCGTGTCATAATATATATATTTCAAAAACGCCCCTTCTGGTATATTTTAGGTTGAAATACCTGACAGTAAGGCAACTTGACGGAAATTTTTTGCGAAATAGGGTGTTTTAGACGGCATTTGGCATTAAAGAAATTTGTAGGACAGCAATAAACTGGGATTGAAAAGAATCAAGTACTCACGTAACTTTGGTAACTTCACAACAGCAATCTGCATTCTCCAATCAGAATATTTCACTGTGTTCCAAAACTGACAGGATGTTCCTCTTTGATTTTTATACAATCGAAAAATTTTCTTCAAAAATTTCCTCAATTAATTTGTCTTTATATCAAAAAAATATTTCGAAATTTAGGAGTAACTTCTCAAAAATTTCCTCTTTTTCCTCCCGTTTTTTCCTCCCAAAAAAAATTTCCTCCCAGGCTGCCTGGCAAGATGGCGTGTTTCTGAATGTGGGAATATCATGTTATTTATCGGGGAATCCAGCTGCTACCCTCATACCTAATTCCCAATTTATGTACCTGAATTATATTGAATATACAAATTATGAATTTACTCACGTTTACTAAACTGAAGGTGCATGTTACATTCTCATTTAAGCACGAGGTATCTTCTACATTGAGTCCCATAAACCACTATGAAACTGCACCTCAATGGAACGTTAAGATAACATCGTGTGAGGTTGATTTCCCAATGTGCTGTTATGTTTTGGTTTGGATATATTTTTTGTTTAAACCATGTAAAAGACAATACAGTATTTCATACTTTAACTCAACTTTGTATGCTTGTAAAATATCAATAGATTTGTCTAACAGAATAAAGTCCTTACAACAGAATTTAACCAGGGGATTAAGATGTTTCATAGCCAATTACGTCACATCTTTGAAGTTGTCAAGCGATTTAATCCCTGCAGTATCGAACGTCACTCTAATAATTCACAACAATTTTAATGTGTGAATAACGATCACTATGGCAAACAGGCACTAAACTATGTACAGATACTAAGCTATATTATTATTTGTTACTCTGGTCCATTTCATCCGCGATACAAGATATTATATAAATAGATGTACTAACGAATCATTGAGTATGTACAGTAAGTCTTGACTGAAATAAACATCTCAACTCCTGCCAAATTGTGCTGCTGCTGCTAGATATGAACTAATATGTTTGCGAAAAATTATGATTTTTAAATATTATCGAAGGCGTGGATCTGGGAAAGGGTTTCGTGCAGAACCGTTATAAATTATAACGTAATTATAACTTATAATTACTTAGTATTTTATCATTATGTCCTTTAACTGCAACATCGCGCGTTAAAGTAAAATACAAAAATAAACTCAAGAATTGTTAAATCGGTCAACTTAATACAGATAAAAGCAACTGGCAAGTCGTGCAATAATCTTAATAGATTAGCTGTTATCCATAATGTATGTTAAATTTACAGGTAGAAATTCTAACAGGTCTGGATGTGATAAAAATGTATAATAAATAAATAAATAAATTCTAACATTTATTACACGCTTCGACATTAAAATTACCCAACAAAGATGTACATTCAAGTCATTCAAGTCATTCAAGCGAGACTTAGTGTTGAAATACCAAGATTATGGACTTTTTAAACAGTTCAGATTTTATGAACAAATATTTGTATGAAGTTACCAAAATCATGCACTTTCATATGTAAAAACATTCCTAGATAGTAAAGTTTGAAAAATCAGCTTATTTCTCTCATAAAGTTATATTTAAAAACGAGCGAAAGGCAAGGTTTGCGGATCTCTCTTGGGGTAATAATTCTGAAGAAAAGTTGGCAAGGAATCAAAAGTTCGCTTCACTTACACGTTCATCTGTTTCTTGAATTGTCCCAATTGCTATCTCATTGGAAAATAATGAACTGTCAAACATTTTGGAGTCTGTAACAGAGCTTATTCTTCGTGCTATGTTTCCTGAGGCTACTGAGATCTTCTTACCCACTGGTGTCGCTGAAAATATGAACTTTAGAAATCTGATTCTTACCGACATCGTCTCATCTACATTTCAAACACACCAATTATTCTGACACCTTGTTGTATGACTTGGAATTTTTGTCAAAATTATTTTAAAAGAGGCCAGTTGGTGTTTTGAAAAGGTGTGAATTACCTGCTAAATTTTGTTGAGTTCGTTTGTTGCTACAGAAATATATGATAGGATTCCAGATGGAGTTAGTGTACCAAAATGTTAAAGCAAGTACTTGCGAAACTTCGTAGCTCATAGTCACCTGATAATATGTCTCAATATAAGGAATGGCACGGACATTATGTATTTATGAATATGGATAAAATGGTTTTTCTTATAAAATGTTCAATCATGCATTAGTGAGTTATGTAGTAATGTACAGTGTACATTGTACAGATGCTTATTATTTTTACTAATGTTGCGGCGAGGCTGGGTATGTTGTAATATAAAGGAATATTAAAAGCTACTACCTTGAAATTAATGAGTAACTGATCTGGTATGTTAGTTATCAGTCCAGTTATTATTATCGCAGTTGAAATGATAAGCAGTTTTTTTGTCTCCAACTTCGCTTTGTTGACAAAGAACACCATCGTTATGTACATAATGATTATTACTATGAATGGAAATAAAACGTATACGGACTTTTTCCAAGATAAATCATTTTCGAATACACATCTGTGGTATGTCGTTTGATATAGCAGCTGAAAAGATTATTGATTAAGGATTACAGTAATATAGAAATTTTGAAAGTCTCCCGGAGGATGTTTACATTTTTGATATGGGATCATTTCACTATCAAACTAAAACCAAATGGCTTAAATGTACCTCGTTAGATTTATTGGAGAGAGTTACGATGTCGATAATGACGATAGGAATTAGGACTGTCCATGTCAACGCGACCATAATCTTACAATTTGTCTTTGTCATGAACGATTTATATCTCATAGGAAATACTAGAGCCACAAATCTATCTACTGTTAGAGGTATCAGTACTGGTATTGCTGACATCCTGAAATAGTTCTGTTAAATAATCTTAAAAAAATTTATTTCAATCAATCAAATACATAGTAATTGGTATGGAACATTCAGCCATGTTATTTGCATGTGCATGTGCTTTAAAAACTATATCAAATTTGCCTTTTTGACATTAATTTGGTTTAGAAAAAACTGGGACGATGTAACTTGTAAGATGAATATATTGCTGTCATGTATTTTCCAAAATATATTTTCCTTACCAAAGAGTGTTTCCAATGAAAGTATAAGCGGAGCACCACTGATTCTGTGTCCCAGTTTCCACGTCATATCCAATAAATCGGGGAGATAAAATCCCAAGACCTCGGATAATTCCAAGCATAGCGATCAAAACATCACTGACTGCCACGTTCAGGATGAACAAATTCTGGAAAATAATCCTCGGTGTCAATGCATACTAGCAGGTTTTTCCTATTTTAATTAATTATTACTACAGTAGTTGAGGCACATAATATAAATAAATAATCATTTCTAAGTTTTATTTAATAAAATGCCTTTGATACGCATCTTAATTTTGATCCAATGACTTAAATAATAATTACCTGGCAGTAGGGCAGCTTGACATGACGAATAAGAGCGTAAATTGTAAAAGCGCTAAGAAAAGTACCAATGATCCCCACACTTGTCAAGATGCCTCCCTGAAAATAATAATTATTAGTATCCCCAACATTGAGTTTAAACTTGAGGCTCTTCAGTCGAAAATTGTGCACCTTTTTGAAGAATTTAGCTGAGCTGAGTCAAAAAAATAATTCACAAAGCTTAACATTAATAATTTTGTAAATTAACTTACGTTAACTAAACTGAAAGTACATGTCACGTTCTGATCTAAGCACGGGGTATCCTCCACATTATATCCCATAAACTAACAAACTATCAAATATTTATTCTTGCTGGGATGAGAAATATTTCATGGTTGAAAATGTGATAAATAATTTGGATTGGATCCTATTAATTTTACAATATATGTAATAGATGTATTATATGTAGTGTAAAAAATGTATACAAAATGTATTGTTTAAACAATATAAGCCCAGCAGCTACCTAGTTAACTCCGTGTAACTAAAATACCTAAGGAAGATCACTATCAAACTGAATAATGTGGAGAAGGCAAACATTGCGAAACAAATCAGTTCAAACTGAGCGTCTGAGCTGAGGGTTGTTTAAAAATCTCATTAAGAGCAAATTTGTTCCTAGCGAAAGTGGTCCATCATTTTCTGACTTTGTGTATAAAAATAATGTTATCAAAATTCCAACTTGAAGCTTGAATATGAGTTACAGAGTTAAGATCTTTTAATTGCTAAGTGACTTTTCATCACTGCGGACCGCCAAGGTTTACAAGGTTTACAAGGTTTACAAAAAATAGATCTATATTACAGTGAGGTAATGTCAGATCAGCATAGCTAAAGGTCAAAGTCCGAAATCCAAATAGAAAATCCGTTACCAATAAGGTGTTTGATGAGTGTAAAGAAAAAGTGAAAATGAAGGGGCTGTGGAGAAAATGTGATATCCCGTACTGAGACACTAATGTTCGTGTTTCTTCTTTATTATAGGGAATCGTGTTCTGCATAGCTGAGCGACGAACTTGGTGAATTCCACTATGTGCTCCGGTAGAAAGAGGCTCTTCATGTCATGAAATAGTAATGACTTTGTGGGCTCCTTCATGTTAGTCCTACTGGAATGGTACCTGGGACATGTTCTAAGGAAGTGTTCTTCATCTTCTATTATCGGATCAACACAAGGAAGATTAACAAAGAGCTCCATCATGGACTTTTCGCTGCAGAATTCACAAATTCTGTGATGTTGACTTCCAGTTCTGCTCCCATATCTTCCAGTTTCTACGTTTAGCTTATGTCCGCTCATTCGGATCCTAGCCACTAAGTTGCTTCCAGTTCTCGACGGTAGCGTGAGGTACGGCTCCTGCTCGAAAGCACCTTTAACTTTATTATAGAACGTAAGCTTCTTATTGCTTTGTCTTTCTGTTTCCCATGGATTGATAAATCGGTTATGTGCCCTTTCCTGACATAACAATGGGTTGTAAAGTTGATGTTCAAGTTTGTTCTCGTCGAGTATCATTAGCATTGATTCCAGTGCCCTGAACCAACCTAAATCAAGTTTCTTCTGCTCAGCAAAAGCGTGCCTGGCTAGGGCTGGTGAGTCTTCTAGTTCAAGTCTTGCAAGGCGATTATGGAAATCGGTGACTTGTTTAACATATCGAATTACAATAGGGGTTCTTCCGCAGTCTCCCCAAACAGCTGCGTTAGATGTAGATTTGCCAACTCCAAGGGTCCATTTAAGGATGGCGAGGTGCATTCTTTCGAATGGGTCAGCTGCAATGCCTGCCAGTGGGGATTGCTTCGTATTGTCAGTTTTGCTGGCAAAAGCCTTAATTCCTGAGCTACTGCTGATCCAGACTTCCACTCCGTACGATACAACTGGCAGTATGAGGGAGTCGAGCAGTTTAAGAACTGCGACCTTGGATATATTGTTAAGGTCTACTTCACTTTTCAGTCCAAAGTATGCCCGGAGAGCTTTTTGTCGCAGAAGGTTTAGTGCTGTCTTAAAGCTGCCCGACAGTGAGAAGGTGATCCCTAAATAGCAATATGTTTTCGCTGATGGGATTGTTGCTCCCATGTACTGAAAACCGTAACTCTCTTTGAGTTGCCTTCCACTTTTATTAAAAATCATGATGGCGGTTTTCTTGGTGTTCACCGTGAGCCCCCATTCTCTGCAGAATGACTCAAGTTCAGAGATCATGACCTGAAGACTTTCTTTCGAAAGTGCGAGGAGGACAAGATCATCTGCCCACAAGAGGTGGGTCAGAATAGTTTCATTCAGCAATGGACTTGAGATGTCTTGAACACTGTTCAGTCGTTCCGAAAGTTCGTGGATGTAAGTTTTGAATAGTTCGGGGCTCATTGGGTGGCCCTGCTCCGTACCTGCAAGGATATCAAATGAGTCTGATATTTTGGCGATCAGCTTGATCTTAGCTTTGGAATTCTTGTACATATGTTCTAGACATTTTAGGAATTTTCCATCTATACCAAGGGTTGAGAGCTTGTACAGAAGAGCTTCACGACTGATGGAGTCGAAAGCTTTGCGAAAATCCACGAAACAAGAATAGAGTCTTTGTCCTTTGTTATTCACGTATTTGTCTACACAAGTGGAAAGGGTGAACAGATGATCCACAGTTCTAGCATTCTTACAGAAGCCAAGCTGGTTTACTGTGTCCGGGCAATGTTCCTTCCTGAATTTTAGCAAACGGTCCAATAGGATTGTCGCGAAAAGTTTGCCAAGGTTGCTCCCGATCGCGATGGCTCTGTAGTTATCGGGGTCGTAGATACATCCTTTCTTGTGGAGTGGGCTCACAATCGTAGTGTTCCATGGGTAGACACCAAGGTCCAAGCAACCATTAAAGAGCTTAACTAACACTGAGAGAGCGCAGTGGTTCTGGGCGGCAGACTTAAGCTGCTCATTGAGTAAACAATCTAGTCCAACTGCCTTACCATTCTTAAGTGTTTTCACCGCATGTACAACCTCTTTCGATGATATCTCATCATTTAGTATGCTCATTATTTGTTCATTTGCTTTAGTCACTGTTCTATTCTGTGGGAAGTTTGTATCCTTCTTTTTGTAGAGATCCAGAAAGAATTGGTAGAACTTCGCCATGTCGAATATGTCCAGCTTGGAGGGTTTTTCGTTAAACTTCTTCAGTTTCTTCAAGTTCTTCCACGAAATCTTATTTTCCTGCAGAATTTCCTGGTTTAACTCTTGGAAGAAAACAGCCTTTTTCCTTTTTAACAATTTTTTATAGTCCTTCTTCCTAGAGTAGAAGCGGATTCGTAGAAGGGCGTCCGAGGGGTTTTTCCCGTACTTCCTTGTTAGAATATTGAGCTCTCGCTTAGCCACTCACTTTAAAATTATTGGCACGCAATTAGAATCTTAGGAAAATTGAATCAAGGAAGACAACAGAATGTTTGAGATTAACAAGCGGATTTATTATACTCATGGCCATGGTAACAAGTGAATACAATTTTATTCAAATGGGCGCAACAAGTAACAATTTACAAAAACAAACACTCCTGACAGTTTATACCGCTGTAATGTAGGATCTGACAAATTGTCTGATATTAACCTGGTACATTCTACGTAATGTATACGGAGGGTTGAATAAGCAACCTTGTATCTATTCTAGTTCCGTAAGGAAGGGGAATTTTAGGTAATATGAAATGATCTGCTCGCAGTTCAATCCATATAATGTGTATAACATGTATATGTATAAGGTAATATCCTAAATTGCAAATTTGTATTTTGGCGTGAATGTAGCGGGATGTTTGTCTCTCCCAGAACAGTAAACACATACTTAAGTCACTGAGTCGAGAAATGAAACGGCAGGAAATAGTACAGATATTTACAAACAAAACGCAGGTTGACAGCGTGGTTGTCATGACGATCGTGTTAAACTGTCAACTAGGTGTTATATAGAATTCTTCGTATTCGAAGATGGGGCATTCTAATCTAGATTAATGAAATAAATCCAACCTATAACATCCTTGCTGCACGGCTATGCGAATGCCTCACAAAGAACCAAAAACTTTATTTACTATACAGTAATAGTTAAAGACAAAAGTGGATTATATATAGACAAATACTGAAGCAGCCGTCGAAAGGTTCTTTAGAACTGAATCATTGAAAGTCGATGCCAACTGCTCTCTTCTCAAAATATTTGATCACGCACAACCCATCAGTACACCGTATCCTGAAAATAAAAGTGATGTATGAGGGATGAAAGTGTTTTGATATGTAAGGGCCTGAGTTGGCGCAATTTCAAGATTAGTATGTGATCAGAAGGAGCCTGCTTTATCTTCCCCCAATTAATTAAACTGCTTCTTAAAAATACTATCCAAACTCCACTTGAAATGTGTATCTTATTTAGTCATCCTACAGGGTATCCAATACGTCAAATGTAATGTGAAATAAATGGTCAAATGTATATCTCGCTTGCACGCGTAAATCCAAAAAGTAAATGTAAAATTCTAGCTAAAGACTACACTGGCCTGCAGAATGCATACGAAATTAGTCAAGTTCATCTCAAACAACTCTAGTGGTTTTAGGTAATTAATGTACTATATGATAACACTATTCTTACACACATTTTCCCTCAGATTCAGTGGAAGAAATCGGAAACATGTAAAAAGCTGTGCGACAAAACGTACAAGCAGGATAATAAGGATGACCTCAGTAACCTAGAGGCAATAAAGAAGATTATAGCTCAAGATTATCAACAACACTGGTAATAAGTCTGGAATGTTATCAACTGGAATGTTATTATCTTATTAGCTATATTAGAGGGCTGGTATAGGAGACCTGGACTTTGCTACGAGCCTGACTCAAACATCATTATATTACACTGGAGTGAGATTTGTCGTGACGTACACTATTCACTATTGCACAATGTACCAGTTTGGCTTGTAAAGATTACGTCGTAAACTGAGGAGCGTTGCGTGTAAAGGTTACATTCTAGTGTAAAACATAGTAGTTGTTCCTTCTACATCACCCATGCGGACCCATGCACACTCTTTAAGATAATTTATCTTGTTAAAATAGTCGTCAAATAACGGCCACGACTCTGAATGTACACTGCCGGTAGGGACACATTTTCATGAGGTACACATATAGTGTACAACTCACACCATAGCTTATATGAGGTACATTTAACATGTGTTACTGGGTTCAAGGTTAACACTTCACATCACAAAATATAAAAGTGTCCTCGAACTGCAAATAGATCAGGAAAAAACGATATAAGAGCGCAGAATTGTGATAAAAATTGGCTAATGTTTGTGCCATTCAATTGTAACTTTATCTGTACAAGTGTTACTAGTATCGTGAGACACTGGTGCAGTGGTAAATGATATGATATTGTGTCTCTTTAGAGAACATGCCAGAATGTTATGTAGATTCTAGCTAACTTTCTAATAGTGGTAGATACTAGATAACATGCCTGAAAAGGAGAATGTTATCAGAGTACTAACTGTAATCTTCCTCAGGGTGGTAGATAACATGCCAGTAGCTTGGTGTACACAGAACACTAACTCCAATCAGAAGGATATCTGCACTACCTCATTCCCTGTGGGATGTTTCATTGACAAGAACGGACAAACTCTAAGCAGATGTGACCCCGTGAGTTTTTAATTCAATTAAAAAACATAATTTATTCATATATTTTTAGACTTAAATAACTATTGGATGAGTTGAGGCTTGTAAGTCGTAAGGACTTGACTTTTGGTTTTTTAAACAGAAAAATCAATAGGTGGAAAGCAAGCACTCAGACAGTAAGGTATTATAAGGGTTCTGCCACGTTTCCAATAATCTCTTTGCCCATAATATCTCGATCGATAATATTCACATGAGTGTTCTGAGTGTTCTTCTTGAGATTTTAAAATTCTGTCAAGCCCGTATCCTCCCCTTTAAGATGATTTTGCACTGCTGATTGTGAAAAGTGTAAAATTTATGATTTTAGATCGAGCCATTTTTTTTCTTAATCTAGCTAGAAGCCGTCCTTTAGCTATAATTAAACTAGCCTATTTATTTTGATCATGTTTGATTATTTTGAATTTATGATACACACATAGTTTGTAAGATATCAATACTGGCTTTTGTAAAGTTATTGATCGTTTAACTAAAAGATTTGTCACACCTTATTATTGTGTGGAAACCTTATTCGTAACAAAACTCTGAAATATAACAAGAGTTTTGGAATTGCGATGGCAGCTTATCTAAAGTACCAAGCCCGGTTATGATTAACATTTAGATCTGCTATGTATCTTGTTCACAATAGCAGCCCAGTTATGATTGAAATCTCGAAGAATCATAACGAACCCAAATATTAACACTCTCTAGTCTGAAACCCCTCAGCCTCATGTAAGTGGAAAGGAGTACTACTATCTTCTGAACCATGTTGAGATTACGATAGAGTATAAGAGTATGAACGATGGATCTGGCCGAGTTGTCGCCGTCAAAATCAAACCTACCTCGTAAGTCACTTATTTTAAAGTCACAATCTTTATCGATTTAATACTTCCAAATGTTGCCTCTAGAAAATTTCAACCTTAAAAAACCACAGAAAAAAGGTTGTAGAAACCCCGATTTCTTGCACTGCTCTATATAATACGATCTGTCATCTCCTACAATTCCAGACACGCCAGCTCAGGAGAGGGTGAATCCTGCAGTAACTCCCAAGCTCTGGCTCTAGAGTTCGACTCCTCTGGGTCTCTCACCGTGCCCTACACCTACTCAGTAACATGGGTAGAGAACAACAAGGTAGAGTGGGCCTCTAGGTGGGATTATCTCCTCAACTCAAGTAACCAAGTCAACGTACAGTGGTATAGGTAAGTGTGACACGGTTTATGTTACAGTAAAAACCCGATTTACCGCGCCCCGATTTACCGCAAACCCTGATTTACCGCGGACATCTCCTTTCCTCAAATAGTGCTTTACATGTATAATTTAAAAACAAAACCCCGATTTACCGTAAACCCCGATTTACCGCGGATTTTTTCCTTTCCCCAAACTCTGCGGTAAATCGGGGTTTTACTGTACTATGACGTTATGTAATTTTCAGATATTTTGAGAGTAAGAAAGTTTGAAATAAGACCTTTCTATGAACTTAACCATATTGAACACCATTTGTAACTCGCTTGTTTCAGTATCCTAAACAGTATAGTGATAGTGTTATTCTTAAGTGGGATGGTTGCTATGATCTTACTGAGGACCCTTCATAGAGATATTGCCAGATATAACCAACTTGATCCCGTAAGTCTCCCACATCTTTTACCACTATTACCACTTTTACCACTATTACCACTATTACCACTATTACTGTTCAGACCACTATTACCACTATTACCACTATTACTGCTTATACCACTTTTACCACTATTACTGCTCATACCACTTTTACCACTATTACCACTATTACCACTATTACTGCTCATACCACTTTTTACTACTCCACTTTACGTTAAACTGCAATCAATTTTTACCGCAGAAATTTATAATAGAATTCGTCGCAGCTAGTATTTCAAAACTGTAATCCAAACCAGTTGCAGTGTCGTGTGATCAAAAACCCCAATTCTTAATTTGAGTACATTCACTAGTACAGAAACTTAATTTCCACTTAATTTCCACACAGGAGGACCCGCAAGAAGAGTTTGGTTGGAAGTTGGTACATGGAGATGTATTCAGGCCGCCCAGGAAGGGTATGATGCTGAGTGTCCTGATCGGAAGTGGAGCTCAGGTCTTCATGATGATCTCTGTTACACTCGGTAAGAAATAGTGATGTGTTGATAAATGTGATTATTTGAGCAAAATATGCGGTATGCCATACGTGTAAATTTTACATGAAGCAGTACGACTATGAGTTTCATTGGTAAATACATACAATTATTCCAGCAAAATGTTATAAATTCATTTATTAAGATAGAAATACCAAGTACCCCACCCTAACCCTCTCCTCCCCTCCCAGTGGTATCGTGTCTTGGTTTCCTGTACCCTGGTAACAGAGGGTTCCTGCTCAGTATGGGTGTGGTCATGTACGTCTGTTTCGGATCACCTGCCGGCTACTTCTCTGCTAGGATTTACAAGAGTACGTATTTTGTCACGTGCTACATTCCAGCATCCAGTATTAACTGATTAAGTAGTGAGAAATTGAGTTTCGTGAATTTCTATACAATACAGGATCTTTTAAGGCCTATAGTTTGAATTAATTATGTTATCGAAGATAATATGGAGCATTTCATCACACGTTTTATAGTTATAGTATAGTAGTAGGTTTAGATGCCATCATGGAGTAGTTGGTGACCGGAGGACTATAGGATACAAGGATACAAAAGTGATAATTACTTTATTGAGACTAAAATATTAAGGTCTTTATTCTCCCATATATTTTGTAGGTGTTGGCCATTATATATTACGTTGTGTGTCGCAATACATATTGCCATTGTGTCCACTCTGTAAACATCATTCAATTATAGTTCAATATAACAATATAGTTCAGTTTGCACTTTGCACAGTGGGGCATTTGCTATACACATATTCACATATTGGCTGTATAAACCTAATATCATTAACACTTTTATTTCATTGTAAACTCCCTGAACTTTGTACTACTTATAATAACGTGTACCATCACCAAGTGGTGTGCATAAGATATTATATATAACATAATAGCAGGGTGCCATTTGCGCGTTTCGATATTACTCGGATGTAACTGTGAAGTGATCAACGGTCGTAAAATAATGATTTCCTTATAAAATACGCATAAATCTCCAACGCGCAAATAATTCTGACATCGTGCTCACTGCGCATGCTGTATAATAATCCTGCATCCGTACATGCTGCAACGTCACCTTATGAGGTCGTCGTAATTTTATAATTATGTATTTACCTTATTATATGATTTCTGATTTTAATATCAATATAATTTACAGGTTTTGGAGGAGAGAAGTGGAAGAGTAATGTGCTGCTCACTGCTTTCTTTGTTCCTGCGTAAGTAAAGTAACCGATCTGTAATTATTTTCATAAAATTGGCTCTTTCATCGAGATCTTTTTAGTAGATGTATCAAGATATTTAACATTTGCCATTCTTACTAGATTGTATATTTCTTCAGGATTGTTTTCTCCGTGTTCTTCGTACTAAATCTGGTTCTCTGGGGCGAAGGATCCTCGTCAGCTGTACCATTCGGAACACTTTGCGGTGTCTTGGCTCTATGGTACGTATTTCAAACATTTTAATTGAAAAATAACTCTCTTTAATTTTGGTTTTTAAAGAGCCTCGCCTTTTTTAGGAAATTGGCACCCGAAGCAACGGTTAGCATATTATACTTTCCCATGGAGCTATCAGCTAATCATAATCTTAAGCAATTATGTTCCGCTATAAATAAGTCTATCTGGTGTAAAGAACACTTCTCAGTTTCTAAAGGCTTATGTCCTTGATGTTAACGCTAGATGATAATTACAAAGATGACGAATTACGAAAGACCAAATTTACAGTAGCCACCACTGTCGTTGTGCCAGTCACAGTTTATATCGGACACAACTGTAACGCGCGAGTAGAGTTTCATGATGCGAGATTTCATTCTTATCGCTTGCAATTGTACGTAAAACGCGTGCGCGCGCTGCGCTCGCGTACGTTTGACTGGATCGGTATAATTTTGATAAGTCATCTTTCCCGTCTGTGATGTGGCACTTTCTCCTAATTAGAACACGAAAGGGGAAGCCACTGTCAGGGATAATTTGATTTTATGACCACAGCATATAATATGAGTACCGTTCTACGTCCTTTCGCACAATACATATCTTTTTTCATTGACCACATCATGATACTTGTTCAAGTATTCTCACCATGGTCACACATTGAAACTTATTGTTCCTTCTTGTAATTCAAAGTTTGGTGAGCGTAGCTTCTCTGTGGTGGCTCCAAAGATCTACAATCGTCTGCCTGTTACCATCAATAGGTTCAATAGGTAGGTAGGTTCATCTCTTCAGCTCAATCCTTGGAATCTTTTAAAGCTCTTCTAAAAACCTACCTTTCTAAACTGTCCCTAGATGAACTTGAAAAACTATTTTTATAGGTCATATCTGGTGTTTGATCTTTGCATAATATGTTTAAGTTCCTTTTTCTAGTATTGACGATATATTTTCAAGCATAATTTACTTTTCTTAACTTAGTATTCATGTTATTTTCTGGGATGACTAGTTTAAACACTGCTGAGTATAAGTTTTGTTTTCTTTGTATAAGAATTTCAACCGCTAATTAACCCTAGTTATCTCCGCTCTACCTTTCTCGTTCCCCCACGTGATTAAAGTACGTGATGTTACCCCCATGTTCGTGATCTCCTTTTCTTCACACCAAGTTTCCTGCTTTATCATAAATTACTCCTTTGTCGTACTTTAATTTAGAAGAATGGATGTTAAAAAGGACATTCATTTCTATAAAATTATACGGCCAATCCCAGCTTTCCCTTACAGTGACACCATGATTAGTAAGTGTACCGAGTCATAACGACACTGAAAACTTCAGGGGTTTACAATTTATCGTTCTGTATCATTGAATTGGTTTCAGTTATAGTATCATTACTTAAGTGGCAATAGCCAATATGAGCTGAAATGAACAGAATAATTAAACACTAATACTCTGCTGCCTTTTGTTTGGTTGAATTGTACTGGAAATTTTGATCCAACAATCTTTTTCAGGATTTGCGTATCTGTGCCACTTACCTTCGTTGGTGCATTCTTTGGATTCCGGAAGGAAGCTATCACCTACCCGACCCAAACAAACCAGATTCCTCGTCACATTCCTGAACAGTCATTTTACACGAAGAGAGTTCCTGGCATTCTTATGGGCGGAGTTTTACCTGTGGGCAGCGTTTTCATTCAGCTTTACTTCATCTTCAACAGCATATGGTAAGTAAACTTTTGTGGTATGTTAAAATAGCGTTACATTAAAAATGGAAGACAAATGACATGAATAATTGTGATAAGAATAGTGTTATATACATTCATGCATCAGAGGCAGCAATGTAGCGTTAAATATGAATTGATAACGAGTGTCTGGTTTCCCCACATCCAGAAAGTCAGCAGATCGGCAGATAATCTGACAGCAAATTGTGGATTTTGGAGGCAATTTGTTGTCAAAGAGAAAATTTTTAGAAGACCTGTCCTTTTTTAGGGCACAGGAAAATTTTACATGAATAAATTTAAAACTTTCTGGATGTGGGCTGGTTTTTATTCGCTCATGCAAACCAAAAAATACCCTTTTGGACATCTTTTCCCGCAAGTCCTAACCCCGTCCAACTTCAGGGCTCACCAGATCTACTACATGTTCTGGTTCCTGTTCATCGTGTTCCTGATCCTGGTGATCACGTGTGCTGAAACCACCATCCTCCTCTGCTACTTCCACCTCTGTTCGGAGGACTATCACTGGTGGTGGAGAGCTTACCTGAGCAGCGGCTCTACAGCTCTCTACTTCTTCCTATATTCTATTTACTTCTATGCAGGTTTGCATTCATATTTGTATAGTGTATTATTAGGTATGCAAGGCCAAGAGGCCATGATCAACTGTTATTAATTTACCGAAATGAAATTGTTTTCACTATATATTGTCTTTATATTAAAATACGTCCGATTTTATCCCGACTTTCATTCCCAGCACTAATCTAAATAATTTTCAGAGCGGCTACAGATGGAAGGTGCTGCGTCTCTCTTCATCTTCTTTGGTTACACCTTTATCATGGCCATCTATTTCTTCCTTTTGACTGGTGAGATACTTTGTACCAGTTCAGCCAAAACTGTGTAATACGTTATTATTGTATTTGTTCACCGTACAGTGATTGTCTCTTCTGGAATGTTCCAAAAAATGGCGCCAATTTTAGTTTTAGGCTTGGAAATCTTCGGATAAACTTTCAGGAAAACTTTTCTGTATCAGTTGTAACGAAAACTGTACGCTGTGCACGCCTCTAAAAAATTATCAATAACGCTTAACAAGATTTGCAGCTTTTGAGCTTTGTGATTTTGCCGCAGATAAGGCCAGGGTTCTGTTATGGGTTTTTATGAGATAATATACCAGAAGTTTAACCTCCGGAAAATTGTTTCTACGGGACAGACTTATTATGGACGTAATATATATTTTAAACACCAATATCACCGGATGCGAGTCATCTGTCTTAATTCTTATCGCTTACATTTCCTTCTGTACTATCTGCTTCGAGCTATGACGTCACGAATGATGATGTTACATAATCTGGCAGCTTATTTGCTTATTATGGTCACGTAAAATGTTTAAATATACATTTAAGGCACGAAAAGATTTGTTTGTGACGATAACCCTCAACCTAGTCTAATTTCTTATCTTTGCAATAGAATTACGATTAGTTGTTTGTCACCTCTTTTTCTATTTGAAGCCCTAACAACATTCAAAATTTCAGGTTTCGTGGGATTCATGTCATGCTTCTTCTTCATCAACAAGATCTACTCTGTTGTCAAGACCGACTAGGTTGACACTAATAGAGGTTGAGTTAGAAGCTAGGGGAGAAGAATGCGAAGAATTCGATACATCAGAAGTGCATTTTATTATCTGATGAACGCCTGTAAAAGTACTGGCATTGGTCCTTCCAGATAAGAGTAAGGCTGTCTGGGCTCAGGATTGTGTCTAATTTTATCTGGGTGAAGAGTTTGAACTGGTGATATTGAAATAGATAAAAAATGTTATTTTAAGGAAAGCATGTGAATACTATTCCGGGATACAAATACGATTAAAATTACTTTTGATAAGAGATCATATCCAGTAAAAATTTCACTGATTAGATTTCCCAAAAAGAAATTCCGGCTTACTATGTTGAAACGTATGCTACACTTCCTCATTTCGGCTAATATCTTCCCTTAAAACTATTTGTAAGGGACAACGGTTATATTTTCAGTTTTATATTTGTTGTGCATGCTTGTCAAGTAGGCATTTAGTTTTACGAGTAGGTGATATAAGTAACCCAGAATTTTGACTAGGATAATTGATGCATGTTGATTATTCGGATAGAGTGATATCTGAACGAAATACTTTGATAGTACAATAGTATTATTGTGTAGTGTTTATTTATATAATGTTCGTTCTGTCATTCAAAACCAGCTGGTCTATAACAAAAAAGTTCCAAGCTTAATTAATCTGCATTTTTGGAGCTGCATTCGCTATCGTCGGTCTATTATTTTCTCAAATCCCACAGAATTCAAATGTTCATAAAATGTAAAATTAAAAATCTAGCGCATAACAATTTGTTTCGTTAGGCAATATTCGGTTAATAAAATCTGTACAACTTTTTTGTTTGAATGTTATTGAATGAACGATAGAAATTTAAGCTGAATCTCATGCGTTTAATTCGTTTTACTGCCCGATATAAATAGAATATGATAACCTGAGTTTATGATTTTTAAAGTTGAAGCGTATCTTCCTATCTCAATTTTATAATTATACTGGTTCATGGTTACGTCGAAATATCAAAAATAACGGAAACCTTAATTTTATACTAATTCTATAATCCGAATTCCCAAACACGCTTGCTTGCACCTTCTGTACTTCCTTCAAAGCTTGCTTCAGACAGTCTCGGAGTGGTCAAATGCCGATAATCTTGTTAAAAACTGAAATTTAACACCGGTCTGGAGTGAAAACTAACATATTTCTATTGGTGAACTGTCATTAGGAAGTCACGGGACGTATCGTGCCAAGCTTCGAACACGTCTCTCAGACTCAAGTAAATTGTAGTTCCACTACTTTGTTTTGACTTTGAATGTTAGGGATATGTATATATATTTACAACCTCTTTTCACATTTGAGGAAACTAAATTTGTCTTTAGTGTTTAGGCCCACACAGAATGCAGATTACTGATCAATTCTTAAATCTTAATCTGCCGCTGCATTATGATTAGCTATCTTGTTCTGTAGGTACCTTTTATAGACTTGTTTTGAAATAAAAGGGGTCGTTCACATATTATTTCAATTCAAATTTACTAAATATCACTCCGATGAGTGATAAAATATATCGTCAGCTCAACTCGAGTCAAGCCCTTTTTTATTTAGTTACTTTTTGCCGGAACTGCTATTGTCGAAAAAGGGAGAAAGGGTTCAATTTTCAATTGTGGCCTTTTTTATAAAATGCTGACTGATATTTTCTTTACATCATGAGTCTAGGAACATTTAGAGTTAGACTGGACGATGGTCACCAGCAGTGGCGTAACGAAAGGCCCTGCTGACCCCGCTGTGCAGGGGGGCGCCGTCTTAGGGGGGGCGCCAAATCGTCGTTTGAATGTGGGACAATTTCGAAAACTTAACTAAAGTACTAGCAAAACTGCGCGTTTTGCTCTAGATACACACTTTTTTAGAGATTTTACCGGCGTATTCTTTAAAATCACCTAATTTGTTCAATTTTAGGGAGGGGCACCAAAAGGGGAGGGGGCGCCAACAGGGGGGCGCTTTTTTCGGCAGGGGGGCGCCAACAGGCAACGTTACGCCACTGGTCACCAGGGATCTCTGATAGGTTACCTAGGGGCTAGGGGTTGATGGATGGTCAGTTGAGGAGTCGTTGGTGTTTAATCCAGGATTTAGTGGAATATATTCGCATGATAATTTATTGGAGAAAATGGACACACTCCATCGTAGACACCTCAGGTTCATTTTAAACATCAAATGGCCTAAAGGTATGATAAGCAACAAAGCATTGTATGAAAGGTGCAAAGTTGAAAAGTTATCCAAGCGTATTGAACACCAGCGGTGGAAAATGTTTGGACACATTCTCAGGAGTATGGAGAACACCCCAGCCCAAACGGCTCTCTCATTTGCTATTGAATCAGATAATTTATTCATTGGAAGATTGGGGAGACCTAGAATGAACTTGTTATCGGTTTTAAGAAGTGATTTAAATAGTAGAAGTTTGCAAATGGACAACTTGTATGAATTGAACGAAATTAAAGATATAGCTGCATGCAACAGATGTTGGGAAAATCTTTTTCAAGGGTACAGTTTACCGCATTAAGGTATTTTTAAGAATCATTTTTGTCGGTAAGATCCTGTTTTATAATAATAATAATAATTTATTGATACAATTCAAAAATTCTTTGAAAACGGCTCAATCTCAGATAAGCCCTTTTTGAAGAACGAATATGGAATATGGCCTGACTCATAATCATATTTCTCAACAGTCCACAAGTTTCTAAATACTGTAATTGTATAGTTTATGCCTACCTAGTTTTTATGTGATAAAAATTGTAGGAGGAATCCGAAAATTAATTTGCCAAAATTGCAGTTTTTCCAGAAATCGCGTTTGAAATTTATGCTTGCAATATATCTAATAATAATTATACATACACTCTGAGCTTCAAAGACCCATATTACTTTTGCCAGGATTAATATTTTTGATGAGGTCAAAAGTATCTGGTAGTTCTAACTAATTTTTTTAACCATTTGCATTTGGGACCCGGCAAAATACTGGCGAAAACGTCCATTAAACCCAAAGGCAAAACTGTAATTTTTGAGATAAGCCCTTTTTATAAAACGCCGCGACGATATGAACCGACCGGATGTCCGGCTGAATTCGGTTCCGGCCTGATATCTCAGATATCTGTCTTCAATATCCCCAATATCCGGTTTCAAATAATATTTAATACTGTGTATTTCTTGTGGCTACGGGTGGGGGTGGGGGTCAGTTCTTGACTACGTTGGGTCGTGATTACTGATAGTGATTATATTTATGGAAGGTGGGTAAAAATTTACAAAAAAATGAGTATGTAATATGTGAACGACCCCTGAGTTTTTATGAGTACATTTATAATTATGATCCTAAATTTGCTTTTAAAACATTAAACAGCTTTTGAAACTAAATTTTACTTTCACTGATTAGAAAGAACAAATTGATATTTAGATTTTACACATATCAGAGTGTATGTTCGTTAATTTGCTTATTAATTGCATCATGTTGTATAGAAAAAATCGCTTTAGTTATTATGGCTGAAGAAGTAGGAGATTCTGTCTGCATCATTGATTCACCTAACCAAAGTCCTAATGATGGAAGGAGAGCAACCTTCGACTTCGCTGCTTTACAATTGGTTCGTTGAAATCTGATCCCAATGTTTACCCTCAGTCTCAGGCATCATTCTAAATCTTTAGAGTCACGGCAGATTACTGATAACGTTTTGAAATATTGTAAGGTGTGATCTAAATCTCATTCCGTATTTGATATTGTTCTGCACACTCCCCACTTTACATAATTAATTTAACTCGACATAGTATTAGTGATTAGTGATTAGTAAACTACGAGCATTTCTGTTATGATATAACTTCAAACCTAATTTATATTCGATCGGTTTGCAGTTCGAGTAGTTGAAGTAACAAAGTAGCAATTTCCAGAACCCAGAAACACGAGCTTAATTATCCAATACAATATCATACTTCATAGAGTAATTCTCATTAGAGTAATTCTCATTGAAAATATTCATAAACGTTGGCCGAAGTTGGCTACATCTTGGTTATACTATAACCAAGATGTAGCCATAGTGAGCAGCCTTTGTTTATAGTAACTCCTATCAGATTGAACAAGAACACAGAGCAAGTACAAATCCAAGCCCAAGATTCCAGAGGAAAGGAAGAACTACATCTTCAGCTTCTCAGAGTAGTGACCCGAGAGCGAGGTCTACGGTACCGAGGATACAGTGCCCTGATCTTACTGCTACCCTTATCGACAAGGTTATTTTATGTTAGAAGTATAGAAGTAGAAGCAGAGTTTTCAGGGACTATTTTAACTATACAAATATGTATAATTATGGTCATCAATATTGAACAAAATTAGACCAGTCGGCAGTACTGTTCAACTTTAACTGTTAACGGTGATCCTCATTCTTCAACATATAGAAATCTTCACTTTGACTTAAAATATGATCCACAGCGGATTTAAAACGCTGATGCATCCGCGGCCATCTTTAATTTGGCCTAATCCACAACCTTAATCGTACCATTTTTTTCTCTACGTTTCCATGCCTTATGTTTTGTCGCTATTAAAAGACAAGACAGTACGAAGTTTGTAGAAATCTGAAGTGGATTTTACCTTGACATTAGGTGATATGTAATGTTATCTGTCAGGTAGAAGAGTGGTTGTCGGAGCAGCAAGATATGCAGGCTCAGCAGTCTCCCAAACATTTTGACAATAACCCTAACAGGTATTCTGAATTTACACCAGACATTTTACGTATCTAAGTTTCATTCAAATCAAATGCATATTTTTTTTGGATTTATGTGCCGCTTGTGATATCACTTTGACCTTGAACGACTCATTACTCAAGCCCTCTGACTGATTTGGAGAATCAGACAGTCTCATACGGCTTGATCATTTTTACGGATAATTTTTAATTATTTTCAGGTTTTTGTGGGAGCTCAAAAAATCTGTGTCGACTCCCGTCCTGAACAAAAGTCGAACTCCATCCACCACTATTCCCCCGTTTCCTATTAATAGTGTAGCACCATCAGTTACCTCTGAAGCTCCATCGGTCAATCATATCGCACAGGTTTGTGAATAATTCGTCATTTCATGGATTGAACGTCTCTCGATAGTGAACATCCGAAAAATTTGAATTGTTAATTTTATGAAGGAGTAATATGTTAAACTGTGAAGTAAATACAGGTTTACCTCTAACAGCACTTCAGCAGCCACAAATATTAACTTCAAGACTAGGTTATCTCATAAAACATTGGATTATTCGACATCTACCTCTAATTTACATCTAGGCTTTCTTTTCTACTAATACTATATCAAAATAAAAACCCCAAAAATATAATTTAGGTAAAATAAAATAAAATTATTAACTTGAAGTTGCATATTTTGGATCAGCGATCGACGTTGCCAACTATGTTGCCAATTCTTAATTCCTCGCCTGTACGTTGACATTTAAGTTCATACAGAAACTGTTGCTGCGACCGTCCCATTCTTGTACAACTATGACTTTATTCGCTGTATTTGAACCAGAAGTTTTACTAATGATGAGGTTTTTGTTATATTTAGTTGTGATGGTTTTCTTAGACTGTCTATTTTTACTGTCATATTTTCCATCGTGAACAGGATGCGTTGCTGCTTTTATTTTAGAATGGCAGTTTTGTATAGGATTGGCTTCCGTGGATGTTGGATTGTCAGGATGCTGTGAACTTTTTCCATGATCAAGATTAACCAAACTACTCACAGCCTTCTGCTTGAGCAATGCTCTTATGCTACTCTTCAATGACTTCCTGATGGGTTTACTCTTTTTGTTTCCAGGTTCCCGCTCTTTTTTCGTTTTTTCTGACTTCTTGTTTGGTTGTTTTCGTCTGCTTTGGAATCTCTTTGCCAGTTCGTCTGCCGACGGATATTTTTTGCCGCTAGCTGGGCTTGTTTCTTCACAGAAGAGGTTGAAAATTGAAGATTTTTCCATTAGATTTCAGTTAAGTAATTAAACGTTGTACTTGTTAATCTGAGCTGGAAATTACATCAAAAATCTTATCACTGCGATGTCTAGTAGACAGACAACTAGATAATCGGAGATAAATGCAAGATTGCAGCAATATGTTTCATCATATCACAATATGCAATATATATAACGGATATTGATTGGTCTTAGCGCTTATATAGGTTTCCAGTCGCACGTGCAAAGACATATTACCATAGAAACGTCAAACGAGATTGTTTTTAATCGGCTCGAAAATTTCGATGAAGGCTCTGCCAGCTGCCTCAGTGCCTCTAGGTTAACTTATGAATTTCTTGACTGGACAGGGTATCGTACCATGACTATGAGTATGCGTCGGATCGAGTGTCTAATTTTTTCTGAATATAAGATAAGCATTCCTAGGGCCGGCAAAAGGAACCTTATGTGCCAATATCAGAATATTGAATTTGAAATACCAACTAAGTTTCAATTCGGTTGCATAACGAAATAGAGATAGCAGACAAAAGATAAAAGATAAGATGTTAAAACCTTATGATGGGAAATAAGTATTTCATTGTTTATGCCTTTGGTTCAGGCTAGTTTTCTAGTTCTGCGTTATCACTTAAAACAAATTGACATCAAAGAAAAATTGTTCGGTCCAGTCTCGTTTCGTTTTTTGCCGAGTTTTATAGTTCACACCTGTTCTCCAGATTGAGCTATAAATCACGTGTGCTTCCATAAACTCATAAAGATGGTGATGAATTCATTTGACTCAATAAACTCTTCTACATTATCTTCTTCTGATGATAACGCAAAACTCCTTTTGGTACTACAGAAATTAATTTATGGAGAGCTCATTTCACCCCAGCAGCCGTCGTCTACCGAGGTTTGACTCAAATAATAATAATAATAACATCACTTGATGTCTAGCTACAGCCCAGATCATTACTTTAATGCTTTATTCTAGGGGTCTGACCATCGTAGCGTTAACTCGAGTACTCGCAAACTGTTTGATTATTACTGCTAAGTGAAATTTGAGCACCTCCACAGCTTCACCAGCAGACAGATCCCTGTTACCGCACGTTTTTCATGTTAGCTGGGCAGAGCATTGTGGTTAAAACCACTTAAAGCACCATGTTTCTGATAACGTATAAACAAACATCCCTTCATGAGGCATTGGACTAAAGTAAACTCCACTGGATGAAGTTATTGAGCTGCTTTTCTGTTGTACCAATTTGAGTCAAAAAGTTGCTTACCATGCGTTTACTATTCGTTATTCTGTTGGTTGTAGTTTGCATTGAGTGTGGGAAAAAGAAGAACAGGAACGGAGGATCGAAGAATAAAGACGTTCCAACGTGTAAATACACAGTCGCAAGTATGGACATGAAGCTAAATCCAGGAATATTGTTCCAGGACTTTACTAACCAGTGTAAGGTTGTTCAGTGTTTGGACGGTGGAGAGTTGGATGTTCAAGAAATTCCTGTCAAAACTAATTCCGCAGACAAACATCTACTCTTCGTACACAACGTCGAGAAAGCCAACTCGAAGTTCCAGGGAAAAGCTTGCAAGCTTTGTATGTGCAGTAGAATTAATGAGATGAACTACTTGGCGTGCTCAGATTTTGGGGATACTTGCTGATTAAAACGAACGCTAAGGATTTGATCATGTTACTAATGACTTTTTCTGGAATTAAGAACAAACAGGGTTGCAGGTCGAAGAAATGTTTTGGTCCCATCTACTGTGTTTTATTTTGATTTTGAAATGATCCTGTTAGTTCTTCCCTTTTTCTCGTACTTCGATTTTAAGAAGTTATTCTGTCGTTTTATTTCAATACGGGTCCAGTGTCCACATATAACTTTATAGACGAATTATTTTTGAATTTCAAAATTGACAAAAATATCGTCTACCCCAAACATTCATTTATGCCAGAAACTGTTTTGGCATTTTCTCAAGAAATAAGATACAGCCAGATAAAATAATGTTAATTTTTATCCAAAACGTGACAAAGATAAATTTAAGCAATCAGATAATCTCTTATCAGCGATAATTCGTAATTAATCTTGGCTTAAAGTAAGCCAATATTATTATCCTCCCGCGGAAATCGTAAAAGTAAACCTTCATGCTTCGGAACCAAAATTTACACGAAAAGGTTTGGATTCTGTAAATACCTAATATTTTTTCAGACGACGATGGGGAACTCCACACTGAGCCCCCTTGACGAAAGACAGATCAGAAGATTGATAGGAGATAGCCGACTTATACTACTGCCCCTTTACCAGTAAGTGCAGCATTTGTTATCTCTTATTTTAGTTATTGGTGAGTTGGAGACTGAGGTAGTATTATGTTTTGATATGGTATTCTGAGAATGTGTTCTGAAAGGATACCCCTTCAAAACATCCACATTGTAGTAAACAAGGGCGGTCGAACTATTCGATGACCATTGACCCTGTAGAGGAATCTACGAACTTTCCAAATTATTCAAAACATTATTATGCTTGCCTCTACTAATAGCGATATAAAAGCGAGTGAGGCACACATGGCTAGGTTTACCGTTTAATATTTATTAGTCTGTGGTTGAGCAACATTTTAGCGCCAGAATCCTCATATCTTTGACAAAATCGCGGAAAATGTTGACAATACCTTCATTATAGTCGATATAAAGACTACGTTTGTGACTCTTTTGCATTCAATTTTCGTGAAAAAACATTCGTCTTTGCGTTTGGCTGAAGGATTACAAACAATAGTTGGTTTCTTTACAAGAAAATATCTGTCGATCTGAATCCTGGCACAGACAAGGGGACAGTAATTGATAAATGCCAGGGACCAAAAGTTATATATGTTTTAATGTAAACCAGAATCTCGATCTTGATCGTGACTGAAATACGGTTCCTTTTGAAGTGAAAAGTACAAAATGTGATCGAGAGGTTCCTTGCTAAAAACCCTGCTTTATACCGGCTCTTATACCGGCTCTTATACCGGCTCTTATACTGGCTCTAATACTGGCTCTTATACCGGCTCTTATACCGGCTCTTATACTGGCTCTTATACCGGCTCTTATACCGGCTCTTATACCGGCTCTTATACTGACTCTTATACCGGCTCTTATACTGACTCTTATACTGGCTCTTATACTGGCTCTTATGCTGACTCTTATACTGGCTCTTATACCGGCTCCTATACCGGCTCTTATACCGGCTCTTATACTGACTCTTACTCCGGCTCTTATACCGGCTCTTATAGCGGCTCTTATACTGACTCTTATACTGACTCTGATACTGGCTCTTATACCGGCTCTTATATTGACTCTTTTACCGGCTCTTATACCGGCTCTTATACCGGCTCTTATACTGGCTCTTATACTGGCTCTTATACCGGCTCTTATACCGGCTCTTATACTGACTTTTATACTGAATCTGATACTGGCTCTTATACCGGCTCTTATACTGACTCTTATACTGGCTCTTATACCGGCTCTTATACTGGCTCTTATACTGAATCTGATACTGGCTCCTATACCGGCTCTTATAGCGGCTCTTATACCGGCTCTTATAGCGGCTCTTATGCTGACTCTTATACCGGCTCTTATACTGACTCTTATACCAGCTCTTATACCGGCTCTTATACTGGCTCTTACAGCGGCTCTAATACTGACTCTTATACTGACTCTGATACTGGCTCTTATACCAGCTCTTATACCGGCTCTTATACTGACTCTTATAGCGGCTCTTATACTGGCTCTTATACCGTCTCTTGAGTATCAACTGTAGAACAATGTTTCAGGGCTTCAGTACACGGGTTTGATACTCATGTCTTCCATTCTTTGTGTGATAAGCGTGGTCCTTCTGTTACCATAGTGACCTTATCTTCAGGGGTAAATTCTTACTGTGTGTAACGTTATGTTGTTCAGTGTTTATTCTCTAGTCGTAGTGTCAATGAATGAGTACATATTGTGATTAGAATTTGGAGAACTTAAAAACTGTAAAATGTTATAAGCTAAATCTGCCTTGATTCAAAGTTTGAAAACTTAAATCCCACTCACTTGATTTATGTCGTACTATAAAAATCATATTTCATGTTGTTTATTGTTTGAGTTGTGGCAAACTCTATCAATATTTCGAGTGTCGACAAAGTACAATATTAATCTGCGTCAATGATTAATTCTTTCGCAGTTGTGTTACTGTTAAATTATGTTGATCAGTTATCTTCAAAGTTTCATGTTTGCTATTCTAACTTAACTGTATTCTTACAGTTAAATTTTTGTTGATGAACGTATCGCTTCAGGGTTCGTTCGCATATTACATTATCACTGAGTAGGAAGGAGGAGGTTTCTAAATGATTACGCTAGTGTAATATTTATACAAAAGCTATGTGCAATACTGATTACGAAGGAGGAGGGGGTTAAAAAGTTGATTACGTAATAATATGTGAACGACCCCTTATTCGTTATTATTGATACTTAAATTGTTTAATGTTTATTTGCCGTTTCTCACTGCTGCCTAACAGCTGTGTTTTGGTTGCTACACGAGTGCTGGGTGGTTCAGCCGGGGGGAGCCGGTAAACGACAAGAAAGCATTCCTCTTTAGAGCAAAAGATCATCTCTGTGATGAGCTCAAGGTACGTGGATTGGATTTTATTGTTTTTGAAAAGACTGTTCAATTCTTTATATAATATGTAATGAGATTCTGGGCCAGAATTGCTTCCATTTGCATTAGTTACCATGTTAGTTTATGGTAAAGAACTCTTTTTTATAATTTTGAGTTATAAAATAATCCCAGATAAGCGCAACTCAGTCTGATACTGATCTCCACATTTACGACGACCCTGATTTGGGTCCGTTCTTTGGTTCCTCCGCTAAGCCTACACTTCGTCTTTTTTGTAAAGTTTACGGAGCAAAGAGTGCTCAGGTACACTATCTTTCTTGGTTTGAAGCAATTGGACTGGCATTGAATTATGAACTTTATGTATCTTATCATTTACTCTTCACTTAACCTAACTTATAGATATCACCCTATCCTTTTACATTTTAAATAGATCATATTCATGTCTTAATAACTATAGATAACCGTTCCTCTGTCAATAAGTTGAATAGTTTATTGTTGCTATCAGCAGAGTATTTCAACTAAAATGTTATCAGGTGTACTCAGGAGGGCCCTTTGAGGGAGGCTCCCTCTTAGATCTTACTGGAGTAGAAGAGGGACAGATAGAAGTTACTGATATTGAAGTGTTTGATGCTAGCCAGAAACATCTTCGTACGTATTTGCTTTTTATAAACGTTTATTCTTCAGGTTTTTTTGAACTCATTTGTTTCTATGATAAGCATTGGACCAATTCTTCACATTATTGATATCTTTACATTTGGCGACTTTTTCAGCATTTCTCGAAAGGCCGTGGCGAGAAGTTACTCTCAACCAACCGTAAGTTAATGATACAAATAACCCTTCGTATCATCGATCATAAAAATGGTCAATATGAGCAATGGCCGTTGATTCTCGAACCCAATGGGCATCAAGATTCATCAACAGAGACTTTTTTAATTATGGACATTGTCCACTGACAATGTAGGTTATCATGATCCTTTATCTCTGATAAATTGTTTCAGGACAACTCTGGCGGAAAGCATAAACTACTTCGTAAATTATAAACCAGAGTTCTGTCAGATCGAATTCATCAACGTTCTTCTACTAGGACCTATCGGTAACTTATGTTCCTATTAGTCTTAATTAGTCCTAATTAGTCTTAATGACTTATCTCTAATTCCAGTTATAGCCATTTTTTCGAAAGCTGATACAGTTGATATCGTTAAGTTTGTCACTGATGTCGATAAAAGGAACTATGATCCTTTTATTGTAGGATCTGGTAAAAGCAGCGTATTCAACACTTTCGAGAGCACATTTAAAGGTCACATAACGTCGAGAGCAAGGACTGGAGATGGATCAACAGTCACGACTAAACAGGTTGCTAACTATGAGTATGAAGTATGAGTGGGTGTCACTCACTTTTTCACTGTGGAAAAGAGCTATGTATTCATGGTACAGCTTTATCAAACGATTCCAGTTTCAGTCTCAAGATTTCACTAATTGATCGATTTTGCTGTCTTTTGATAACTTTATAATTTGTAATGTCTCCCTTCAGTTTCGTAGATACATGATGCAACCTCAGAGGTCTAAAGATCCTCTCAACATAAGGATCTGTGACACTCCTGGTTTATCCCTAAATAATATTTCCTCTACAGATCTAGTTTACATGATGGATGGACACCTTTCCGATAGGTTTCTTCCCCGCTGTTTTTCTTTTCAACCCTGTTTATTTGCTAAATAATATTCCTTACAAGATTGTTTAAGCAAAAATTTTCCCTTCTATTCTTGTATTAAAACTGTTACCTTGACACTGTTAACTGAGCAGTATTAATACTTAAACCAGGTTTAATCTGACCGGAGGAAACCTCATTACCAACCGTTCTCCTGGTTTCAACAGTGACACATCTATCCGTGACGAGATGCACTGTATAGCTCTGGTTTTAGACGCTACTAAAATACCAGCCAAAGACACGCCACTTCACTCGAAGATTCTCGAACTCAAAGAACAAATGGACGCGAGAGGTAAACTTGCTTTTTTCTGAATATTGACGCGACGGTGTTGTTAGTTGCAAATTCGTCATCGGGATAACATTTTTTTGCTCTTCCTATGATATTTAATCGGAAGTTACTCATTGTAATTTTACTCAATAAGTAGCTGAATAAGTAACTTATGATTGGTATTTATTTGTATTTATAAAATGTACGTTAACTGATAAATTTTGTTTTTCCAATTTCAGACATCCCAATCCGAGTACTTCTGACGAAAACGGACCTAGCATGCAAGTTGGTAGAATCAAACCTGTCCTACATCTACCGGAGCTGCACTGTAACTGACATAGTCGAGATGGTGTCCACATCATTTTCTCTCCCTAGAAACTACATCTACCCTATGAAATGCTATGAACACGAAATAAAACCAGTTCAGAATATTGGTATTCTGGCTCTAAGCGCATTCCGTCAAATCCTCTACGCAGCAGAGTCTGGACTTGAGGATCGAGAGAGTTTACAATGTGCCGAGCTCGCTCAGAAACTGAGATCAGGATCCAACCTTAGTGGTGGTTCAGTTCCCGCAGGGAGCTCGTTGGGAAGTCAGCTGATGAGCAGAGACAGGTCTGCCTCAGACAACACTGGGTCTCCAGTCTTCAGGAGGTCCAACAGTGCCGTCGTAGTTCAGACTCAAGTTTATCATCACAGTGATAGCATGAGGCACAGGCATTCTCTCGACTTACAACGGGCTGATCCTGGAGCGAAATAAACTTTGTGGAATTGAAGTGTTTGGCCTTGTTTTGGCCTTGTTTTGGCATAGTAATTGTGTTTGACCTGTTGTTATACGGCGACAAAGCTCCCAAAATTTTCTTTTGAACCGTCCCTAATAATGATAATGACGAAGGAAAATGAAAATGAGGGTACGACCCATTGAAAGGTCAGACTGCTCCATGTTGGCAGGTGTATTGTTTGGTTGGTAATATAATAATGACGAACATATATACTACACTGGCCTCCCTGAACCTCCTTTTGTGGGGCAACAACAATGTTAGGGGTGCTCCAGTGTGTGGTGAGTCAATGAGAATCGTATGAAGCGAATAACTGTACGCTTTATTCAGAACTTATTGTATGTACATGACAATGAACGCCAGACAATGAACATCATTCAGTCGAACCTACCTCTGCAGCTACTTTATTTTACTGTGAGCATAAGTTTTGTATCTTTCTTACATTGCGGGGCCAATTGCTGCCCCCAGTTTTTTGGAAGGACAATGCTTTTGGTGTGGGTGCAGTGTTTAAATTTACTTTCGCCTTCAGATTCCTTAGCCCAGTGCTCATTTGCTCATTATGATTTGCAATAAAATTGATGTCATTTTCTGATTATGAATGAGTATATACTGCAATGTAAGAACGATCTCATGAATGAATTGTTTGAAAGGACAAGAAAATTAAAACATGTTAATCTTGTAAGTGTTGTCGTTGATAATGTATAATTTATGGAATTTCAGTCTAAATATAAACTTAAATCAATAACCCACAACTTATTGATTACGTACGTTTAAGTTCGTCCATGTTTAACTAGTTTTGATCAACAGTGTGGACCGATTTTAAGGACTGATAGCACTTCCAAGTGCATTTTTATACTGTTCTTATTATCAAGAATGAAATCTGATGTATTAAAGAGTTTGTCAGCTTCTGAATTATTCCAGACGATTTTTAAGAAATAACAAAAAAATAGGCAACACAAATTCATTAAATGTTATCGAATTTGCTTTGTAGTGGTAAACTGGAATTCAGCATGGCAAAGTGACGGAGAGACCATTTACAACATTTAACATTTTGCGCAATTCATTGCAGTGTTTAGGACAAATACAATAACCGCATGCTGATCACGCAGTGTGTTAAGAGTAGCCTAACAGACTGTCGCTTGCGAGCAAACCATAGTGGTGTATATTTGGCAAACACGTGGGAAGCGGGTAGGCTCGATATGATGTTGAGGTACACTTTTATACTTATTGTGGGCGATTGTATAAAACACGTACTTGGACTGAGAAGTGGGTTCTCAAGTTAGTTCTCTAAAATGTAATGCGGACACTTTCCCTACTCCAAGGTATACACCAGCTCAAATGAACCCCATTTCTATGTCACTTTTGTGATCTTTCTCTCAGTATCTAACTGTTCTATACAAGTACAATGTACATAAAAGGGTAACGACGTTAAAATATGTGGGTGTACACTGTGCTTGTAGCTAAGGAATGATATCACTGTCTGCGCCCTTTTAATTGTAAGTAGTAAGTACACATAAAAACAGAAAAATAACGTCATGTCCATTGATAATTTACTCATGATTACGTCGATATCTGATCTGTAACTTAATGTGGGAATTTTCATGTCTCTGCCTGCAATTTGAGATTTAAGATTAGGTAACTATGAACTGTGCATATTAAAAAGTACGTTGCTGCTTTTGGCGTGTGCCTGTAATCTGTGACGTAATACATTTTATGACGTGATACATTTAAAAACGAGCTTTTGTTATATACTCGAAATAACTATAAGTATACAGTATACAGTTGCGAAACAGTACCTGTGGGACTCCCTTTAAATCCAATGAAATGCCTTAATATCAATAATGAACGACGTCACAGGGCCGGATTCGCTATTTCTATAGCAAATGAACTGTTGGTATAATGAGCAAGTATAAACTTACGTCAATCAATTGTTAAATATTGATTTTTACAACTAGTAAGGTATAGTAATAAAAGCCTCCATTATTATTTAATCCCAAGCCTGGAATACTATCGCACCATGGACTCAATCAGGTGAGGTAGACTCATAATTCTTACATTTTAAAAGCTTTCCAGTACAATTGCGTGCTAGTGCTGGTAAATTAAGAACTTGCCATTGTTTTGCCGAGCACTCTTCGTACAGCCCGTACCGCTGAGGTCTCGAGATCGAACTCTGTTCGCTCTTTTTTCTCCCTTATCGCTCGGTCCAGGGGTCACGTGACTTTCGGTCACATGACAAATCTGGTGCTAGTCCGTGATTGGTCTGATCGGCGGCGCGTGATTGTTTTCTGGTTACCGATTGGCGGGGTAGCCATTATAGCATTCGCAAAGCACGTGTGCCTCCGCCCTTTGTGTGCATTATAAAGGAGCCTTTTATGTTCATTGTACTATAGCCGGCCGTCACATGACCTGACTACTATGAGTCAAGATCTCATGTGACCCGCTGGACAACCATTCACGGGACCCCATTTTATCACGTGCCCAGACTGAGCCAATGAGAATTTAAGTTTGATGTACTCGAAATGTTGGGCTGCTAAGAATAGATCAAAGGTCATGTGACCATCTCGCCAACTCAGCGAATATTTGATGATTCGACACGTCCAATTATATAGTATATACCTTGTAAATATCCGGCTAACACTTTACAAGCCAGCGGAAGAATAATATATGATAGCTCCATTTTATTTCAATGCTGAAAATTTATCAGGTTGAAAATAACAGAGATCGTTAATCAATAAACTGAAGATCGTCATTGATCAATATAATAAACTGCTATAGCACATTATTGTCAAAATAATATCAGTCTCCTAACAATACATTGCATTGTGCACATTCATACGAATTACAATAATTTCTACAATGCTTTCCTCAAGGCAGCTTTATTATACTCTGCTGTGGCATTATAAGTTTATTAACAAATCTTTTGAAAGAACTAAAACAAAAAGATCACACAGGTGTAAAACTCAATGGACAGCAGCATTCATCGCTTTTATAAGGTCGCTGGTTGCAAAACTCACACTATCAACTTATTTTGTCTTTTCTGTCAATGGAATCACTGTATCTTGTATCTGTGGCGGTCCTCAGCCTTACTTACCTTTGAATTTTTAAGTATTTGCGACCAAATGCTAAACACGTCACGCGTCCTTGAAATGAAGAATCGTCCAATGCCCTTATTTTATTTCCTCAATTTCGAGCTATTTTTCATTCGTCGCACCAATACTACATTAGTTGCCAGTTTTTTGAAAATCTTTCATTCATGCTATCCAGTGAGGCTTGCAACTTTTCAACCGTTTCATCCTCAATCGTAAACAGACTAAAATTAAATTGTTTCACCTCTCTCTAAAGAATCTGTTTTCACTTTTCCATGGCCTGATCACGCCACGTGTTGCAGCATGTATTTCGGATGCTTCTGAACAGCATGAGCGGGATAGTATCGTGGGAACTTTCTGCTTGTTATCGGAATGATTTCTGCTTGTTATCAGTAGTATTTCAGCCAATCACAAGCCGCCTTTTTGTGGTGAGCAGCGTGTTAGCTGCTGGGAGTGCAAGAAAACAAAAAGTACTTGAGGATGTGAGCCAAAAAAGAGAGTTTTTCTGATTTTTTCTTTAAAATAGCGATTTAAGAGGTACATTTTTTATGCATTGAAATTTTGCCAGCTGATTGTCAGCGTGAGGAAATCACAAAAAGAATTGGAGCCTCAAATTTGTAATTAAGCGATGGGAAAATTCAAATCTTGGAAGCTTTCACCTCAAGGCAAGTTTACTTTAGGTTCAGAGGAGAACATTCTTCCTTTGTCAATTGTCAGCCGACCTTTAAAAGTGTGTAATATGTTAGTTTAAGTCCATTTATTTATGGCAGTTTACCCGTATCTCATCAAACTAAGACAAGTTCTCTTGAATCGATTATCAAGTCTTTCGTAATGTTCGAGAAAACTTTCAAGAGGAAAACAATTTACTCTCTTCTTCCGAACAATATTCTAGTCAGAGTCTTATTGCCTAATGATCGAACTAAATAAACCAAATAAACTAATGATTTAATCTACTTCAATGTGTTGATAATAGTAAATTACTACTATTTTTTGAGAAAAGTGTTACTTCTTGAGAAGTATGGAGCTGTGGATTATTCCTTATTTTAACTTAGTTTAAGTATATTTCTATCATAATCAATGATCATTTAGCTTTTAGTTTTAGTCCTCATGAAAGTTTCCCATGTTTGGCTGACCCCCAAGATTTACAACTTGAGTCTTACTATTAACATGTTTCTGATTTAAACAATATAACTACTCTCGAGATTTTCGAAATGGAATTGATAATTGTGGTTCGAAATGATGGCGGTGTACTCAAAGAGCAGCGAATTAAGTACTCATAGCAAATTTGGACACGAAATATATGCAAATTATGGGCTCTATTTCTTCATTGTCTTAGAAATTAAATGAAATGTTAATCTGAGCTGCTGCAATTATCCATTTTAAATAATTCGGCATTTTCAAACACTTAAACCACATAGCATCAGCTGATCAGCACTCAAGGCATTCCAATACATATTGAGGGGGGGGGGGGGTCAGCCGAAACGGTGGAGACTGGAGAATAATCCATATTTTCCAGGATATCTATAACATGTATAACATAGATTCAGTTTTTGTGGAAAACATTTACTGTGTGGTCGAATATGTGAACCCGGGCTTTCGGCTGTTTACCTGGATTTGTGCTCATTAGTCGAACTTAGTCGAACGACTTCGACTGGTCGATCTCCATGAGCGATCACCTCTGTAAATCTTGGATCAGCTGGCCATGGTGAACAGATCAAACATGAAACACTCCTGAACTGCATGATGTATAAAGAATTAAAGTCAATTTACATTTAAATTACAAATTTCGATTAAAAGAATTTATCCTCCATTAGTCTCCACCCATTCAATTTCCTGTCTCAAATTCCGAGAAATATGCCATCTAACCGAGCTATGATAGTGAAATATCTCTAAACCACTCTATCACTCTCACCGTTAATAATGTGCACGTGCAACTCTTGACGGCAACTGCAAGAGTTAGAGTTAGACCCGTGTGAGTGGGGTAAAAGCTTGCTGAGCTATTGTTAGGGACCGTAACAAAGAAGACCAGGCTGATCCATTTACTCTAATGGACACATAAGAGTTTAAGCGACCTTTTGAACGTGAACGTTACTGCAAATTATGCGGACACGAGTCATTACAGGAGTTAAACGGTTGGTGGCTGAAAACACCAATATCTCCTTCATAATATGAGCTGTGTGTTGAAGATGATGAAATGTTGGAAATTTCAGATATGAGCTCGAATAAGAAATAGAGAGGGGACAGACAGTTACAAGTTAAAGGCTGGATTGAACTTCAGCCTGACCTTCAACCTGAATATGCAGTTCAGACATCAAATTTTTACATTTTTCGAGAGAGTTAAAGCAAATTATGCTAGGTTCGTCCGATGAGATTATTGATTTGTTTTTAACTTTTTCGAAAGCTAATTTAACAAAAAGTCATGTTTTGTCCCACAATTTCATGATATTAACACCTATGTGATTTTTAGTGCCGTATTGGATTTGGTCAAGAATGGTGCACGGGTAGAAATTGAAAAGGTGCCAAACTTAATATCTTTGTATAGGGCCTACGAAGCTTCCTATACTATAATATTATATTCTACTATATACAGTGCATATATTTATGAAAAGACATTCATTCATCTGCATAACAATAGTTCATTGAAACAATCATGGAATTACTCATGTCTATCAATGAAAATGATTGTATTCGATAACAATCGATAGTTCTTATAATGATATAACGTTGCGAGAACCGCAGCACCACCTTTCTTCATGTATTGTCTTCGGGAAGCGATTGTTCGTTATTTTA